AAATGGGAGGCTTTAATTCTGTGCTACAGTAATTGCAGACAACTTTCAGTATTTAAGTAAAAACTATGACTAGTGACACATTTCTTTCAATACATATTTTAAAAACATCTTAATATAAATAGAATGGGAGGTTTCTTGTGGTAACTTAAACATTTATATTGCTTCCTAATGGGGGGGAAGAGGTGTCCCCCCCCCCAAGCTGATGAACAGTTTCCTCCTCCTAGATTCTCAGCTTGTGCTTCATTGAAATGTGAACTGAGTAAGTATCTCATCCTTTTTTCAGCACTTCTCTCAATTTTTATGAGCTGCATTTTGGGGTCTGTCAGATGATAAAACAGATGCAGCATAAATGATTCTTCAAGCAACCATGTCCATGTTGATTTATCTGCTGAATGACTCCTACGCTTTGCAGAAAATGTCAGAGCCTGTTTAAATTCATACATTTCACCAAGACGTTAAAGACGTCTGACAAAGCTAGAACATTCTCATGGTCTCAGATGCATCACCCAGGGGTCATTTCACTAATGGACCAAGTCCACTGGTTTCCTTATTCTTGCAGCTAAACAAAATACCAAATCACATACTATGCATGGAATCAGATGGTATGGCCTTATCAGCTTTTGCCCTGCCCATGGACCACTTTCCCAAGAGGCATGCCTGCTCTTAGTCTGTTTAGCAGCAGGCTAAAACTTTCCTATTCCCCTAGCTATTTTTTAGTTAGCTATTTATATTAAGTGACCACAAAGTCGCTTGTATATATTTTAAATGCTTCCTTGTGCAACCATTTAATGTATGTCATGGTTTCTAATGTTCTTCATAATTAAAATAATTTTGTAATCTGTCCACACACTGGGAGTATTAGAAGGAATGTTACCACCACCGCCACCACCAAACAGGCACAGGGCGTTCCAAGCATTGCGGCCAGAATGCTATTCTGAATTCCTTCTGCTTATTTTAACGTTTATAAAAAAGTTGGGGTTAGATCTGAAAATGTAATCTTGTATACTTTTTGCCCTACAAGAATGTGTATTACTGGGCTGGCAAGCCATATTTCAAGCAAATTCATCTGGTTTGTTCTTGAGAAATGCCAAATCAATTCCCAACCATAGGCTTCTCAGGAACTCAAACCAAATATCTAGACCATACTGATAAACATATTAATAAACATTTTTCCTTCATTTATAGAAAGAAATCCAGAAGGAAGGAAGAAGGGAAGATTGCTAAGAAATGGGTCTTACCTATCCACATTGTCATTATGAGAGGAATATGAAGGTGAAAGAAAAAGGTTTTAAAAATTAATTTTTTAAAAAAACCTGTCAATCTCAAAAGGAAAAATATCTTTAGGTGCTGTCAGAATCTGCCATTAGCCATAACAGATCTTTAAAAGGTTATGATGCTTACACTGAAGCTAAAAAAAAATCCAATCTAGCTCAGCAAATATAAATTCCACCCAAAATTAATTTATCTTCAGTGGCAGTTTTTCACTGTGGAGAGACACAGAATGGATAACAGAATTCTAAAATGATTTTTAACAGCATGTCTACAAAGTTTCTCATATTTATAATTTGGATCGTGTCCCTCAATACTCACCAATAAGCTCCTTGTTACGCACATCTAATGCCATATTTCTCAGCGCTGTTGCCACAGAAGAAACAACTCTGTCGTTGTCCATTCTTAGCAATTCCACGAGAATTGGAAGCCCTTTTTCTTTTCTGACAGCAGCTCGAATATAGGCTGCAAACTATTGTATAAAAATAAAAGTTACTTAAAAGCCTTTTCTTATTTATGAATTCATCGATGTTACCTTTCAAAACATAAATTTTTATCTTTTCAAATAAGTTTATTCTAACTATAAATGGGAGGCCTATATTCAGCTCCCATTAAATTAAGTGTGGGTTTGGCACTGATTGAGCATCTGAAGGCTTTTTCTTATGAGATACAGAGAAATAAAATGAATTAGGAGATTAAGTGAAAAATACTAAATTATGTTATCATTGTTTCAACAGCTATTAAAGATGCAGTGACACTTATGGAATAAAGACAAAATGTTTGGAAAGTCAAGCTGCTGAAACAATTTAACATAGCAGTATGTTATTTATTTATAAGTATCTTCCAAAGTAGATATTAAAAAAAGTGTGAAAATATACTTTGTGATGTAATATTGGCTAGCTCTGCAGATCAGAAGTTGGAGTGTTCAGTGCTAGTATCTCTTTCTGAGTAATGCTCTTGCTTTTTGCTGAAAACCTAGCTGTGTTTTAGCTAATTAGATGAATTAAATTATTTTTTCTTGGCTCTAGAAAAATGCTAGATTTTGAATTTTACTAGAATCTAATCTAAAAACACAAAATATGATAAAATGATACTACATGGGGTTTTTTTTAATCTTAACAGAATGCTATTTGTAATACCCTTCTCCCTAAAAAGTTCACTTTTTGTTCCTGCTATATATTGTAAAAGACTAGAGTTATAAACTGCAGAAGGCAGTGATCAGGAACCATCATCAGTCTCAAATAACTAATTATTTAAAGAAAAATCCCTATCTTTGCTAGGCATTTTATTTAAAATTCAGTATGAGATAAACATGTTAGTTACTGGCTCAAATTAATTTTCAACCTAAGTTGTATAGCTTTTTTTTGGACTCTTCAAGAAAAATTCCAGACTTCTTGGTGAAAATGACTTGGTGCCACCCTAAGCCATTGTGGATTCTCCCCTGATGTACTGATTCCAATGGGATTTGATCAGACCAAAGCATCTTTCAAGCAACGTGCTAGAGACATGGCCCTGCAAAATGATCTTAGCCAGGCTCCATCATATACTAATTCAGTGAACCCATAAAGAAGTGTTGTTCCTGCACACTAGCTCTACAATATTGTCCCCCCAAACAACAGAAGAGCTTTTACTCTTGCTTGCTGCAGTGTCCTCCCTTCCGCCCTCTTGGTTCTCTAACACACCAAAAGAGCTGTGGGTCTGTCCTTACGGTGAGGGGGAAATTGAAACTGTGGCTCATGGGTTGCTGCATTGCCTTTTCCACAGAGCTCTATGAGAGAGGTATATTTCCCCAAGTATAACACAATGCCTGGGCAGGCCGGAGACTGATGACCTTAGTCTCTTGCTAGCTGACTGGGAGGCAGGGATTTCAGACAATATAGTTCTATGTCAGAGCTATGATTAAATGTAAACAATTCCTCCAAGTGAGGTGATGTTGAGCCTTAACTAGGCTTCCATAACTCAATATATTTTCTCTTCTCCTTTTTTTCTCCCTTCTTTCCTCTGCCCCCCCCTTCTCTTTTCCTTTTAAATATACACATACCATTCTATGTTTTATTTTGCTATTTCTCTGTTATATTGGTTGGACCATAATTGTCTTAATCCCAATAAACCCTAGCAGGGCTTCAGCAAATATTAGACTTAATATAAGCTAGCACAGCTTTACATTCTTGTAATGTCTTATACATTCTAGTATTACTTATGTTCTTTTATAGTTATCTATCCTAGCTATTTATAGCATTTAGATTATTCATTGTAAAATTAATTGTGATTTTATAGGATACTCTCATGTTTTAATTCCTGTATTTTGTAATGTTACATTAATTTTATCTTTACCTTATTTTACTCTATGAATTTGATTTTTTATTTTTATTTCTATTTTAGAGTAATTGTTATGTTATTAGTTCTATGACTGAAATAAAATTGATATAAGGTGTTCAAAACATGGGAAGAGTATCTTCAGGTGCATCTTAATGTTTAACATTTCTTTGAATTTAGTCATTGGGTTTGAAAAGAATGTAATGAATATTCAAACAACTATCTGACATACTAAGGATTTTCCACTTCTGTTAAACAGTGGATGTTAAGGAGCAAGACACAGCTTTGTTCAATATATAAAGGTCTAACTATGCGTGACAATGGTTGGAAAAGCAGCTCTACATGTTGATGCAGAGTTTTGATATGCCTGCAAGGAACCCCAAACCATGCTGTTGTCCAGAAGGACAGAAGATTTCTGGGGGGCCCATTTGCCACATGTTACTTTCCTGGGCTTGCAATTGTTGCCGATAGCGATGGTAAGGTCATGAACTACACCAACTCCAAGGCTAGCATACTTCTTCCTCTATTCTATGGCTATATTAGAGGTGTGAGAAGGCTAGGAAAAATTCGTAGCATGTTCAGGAAATATCTACTAACCTTCTCCCTTTTCTTGCTTGTTCCAGTATCAAAGCTCTGAAATCAGGTATGTAACAATGTTTCTCAGGTGGCTAAGAAAGGATGCCTAAATACATATTTGCCCTCCAAAGTCCTATCTTTTCTTTTTCTATCCCTAGAATATATCCTATGTCTCCTAGGATGCCCTTCCAGACCCCAGAGAATTGCAACCTAATGTTAATATACAGATAAGTTGCAAATGCATATAAAGACTCAGGGCCAGTTAATTTTATTAGCTGAATAACAGTCATATGGATCCACTTGTAGATTAAGGTTTTGCTAGATTAAACTAACTCTAGAAATATTTCAGAGGAGACCTTGTGATCTCAAGCAAATTTCTTGGATAAAAAAAAAAAATCAAGGGATTAACTGTTAGCAGTTATCTGTAATACTGCAACTCATACTGCAGATTGCGTATTCCATATTGCAAGTGACTCTCCAATAAAAATATCGATGTTGCAAAAACAGAAAGAATGAACTATCAGTACTCCCAAGTTTCATACACTACCTTCCAGTTGCCTGCAGAAAGATTCTGGAGAGACCCTGCAGAACCTTCTAAAGTAGCAGGGTTGGAACTTTCAGCTAGAAGAGTTAGATACGGTTTTACTACAGATGGGTGCCACAGCATTTCCACACCTTTAGGAGATTTGGACAACCCTGGTATTGGACCAACTCCATCCCACTGTGCAAGGTAAGCACAATAAAAACATTACATTAAATTTGAACAGTTGTTTCTTTTAACAGAGACTCAGTGTTATCATAAAATGCTTCCACTGTAATATAAAATAAATGGAAAAATTGTTTTTGGTACTTCTATGATAGCTAGGCAAAGGAAAAAAAGAAAGAACCTGATCCTCTTGCAAAGTTTTTTTCTTTTTCTTCTTCTTTTTCCCCCAGCAGCTTGACTCCGAATCTTTGCTGGGTGATTCCTTCCCCAAAAAGTCATCCAGCTCACTGATGCCTAAAAGGCGGGCCTGAGGAACCTCAAGCTCTAGACGGTAAGAAAGGTTCCGAAGTGTGCACACACAGTTTTCGACTGTCTAAAAGTGAAACATAAGAGATTCAGAGAAATACAATAGTGGTTTGGGAAGAAAGAAAATGTTGAGAGAATATTTAGGGAATAGGATGCATATGATGAGTTGTAGGGGAAGTAAAATAAAGAAAATCTCTCTTAACACTCATAGTTTCACTATCACAATTCAAGAGGGACTATCAAGCTATTTCTCCTTAAGTTTTCACTTCTCCAAGTAAAGCAATGAGGACCAAATTTTCTAATCTTTTAATATGAAGAAATGCTAGCCAACTCATAGGGAATTATTTATATTTTTTAAAAAAATCAGATTAAATTCCTAAACCACTGCATTTCTCAAGCGTTTCATTTTAGCTTTAGTTAAATTGTATTGTTTTAGACCAGGTTCCTGAATTTGTGATGTCAAGGTGATGAGAAACATCTGTCCTATTTGAAATTTAATGATCATGGCACCACAAAGTTGATATTATCTTTTTGGCATTTTTGTGACTTCCTGTGTTTTTTATCTTTGCTAAAATAATACAGATTTTTTAAGATGTTGTGGTATATCTTGATCATTGTTTCTCATTTTGAAGGACTAACTTAATGAATTATTGTCAGTACCAGATGGTGCTAGTATAGGTAACACCCTCCTGTAGGGGTTCACAAACTTTATCAGAATCTTCCCAAGTCAACAAGAATGGTCTATCCCTTAAAAATGCTAGATTGGAATAAGAGGTGGATAGGAACTAGAAAGGCCTGAAAAGAAAGCAAGAAAAAAAAAACCTTGTTTGATTATTTAAGTTTTCTATCCACACAAAAAAATACTAATGATGACGTTACACATTTAAATATTCAGTGACAAAAAGGCAGACTCTGCCTGAAATAATATATACATCAGTCAATTCTATATACACTTATTTGAAAAGAAAATCATTAGTTAAAAGATTTGCATACCTTGCTGTCATAATCAGAAGTGTTCACACATGTATGGATCACATATAACAAAGAATCAACCAATCCTTCACAAGATCTCATTTGTTTCCGTGCCTCTTCTCCTGCAGAACTTAAATTCCTAAGGCACAAAACAAAGCAAAAAAAAATAAAATAAATACAGAACCTGTGATATATATGCATGTATGTTTGGTTATCATAGGCATGCCTATTCAAGAAATTGATTATAGAAGAATACTATTTATCCAAGATGATACTATTGATTTCTGGGGAAGTATAAAAAATGTGGAAGTGTTCAGTCTGATATATGATGATGATGATGATGATGATGATGATGCTATTATTATTTACACAGTCTATCGGGTAGTTCTGACTGGATTTGGTACTTTTGACTATTGGAACCTTCTCAAGGATCTGAGATAGTTAAATATATTGTCTATTGTTGTTGTTATTTAAAAGGACACTGTTGTTGCTGGTATTTAAAAGGATGTTTTCACTAAATAAGTAGGCAACCAAAACAACAATTTAACAGAAAGTCTACTTTTACAATGGGCAACAACTAATACTGTGCAGATTTCTACCTCCCCTTACATTTCTCTGATGTGCTCTGGATCTCTGAATACAACCTATTCTATTTTTCTCTAAGAGGAATGAAGTATTAGGAGAGAAAATCCCAAACCCTCTACAATATCTGTCTACCAAGCCATGGTTTTCTTTAAACGTGATATCAGTACGCACTGTAGATCAAGCTACATATGCAAATTTGACATAAAATCTGAGAATGAGATCCTCAACACCTCCCTTCTGAGACCCCAATGCTATTGTGTTTCAAATATCTCTTTAAAATCCATCTTTTTTGGCCTTCTCCAGCCGCAGTTCTACTTTAATTTGAATGTTATTAAGTTTTTATGTGATTTTTAATTTTATGGCTATTGTAATTTGCTGCTGCAGTTTCAGTAAAATATCTTTTACTCATGGCTCATGTAGGTAGGTGCCTAATTTTATGATCCCTCAATAGGGGATTAACCCTCCCCATTTATCCGGGCTTGGGACCGGCATATAGATGTGTTACTATCTATATGGCTGGGTTGACAGTATTGGGATAATATTGCTGCAGAATCACAAGAAGTTACACAGCAACAAGAATACTGTACGTTGTACACTATATTGCACCATCTTGGAAGTCACATGCATAACATCAATGATGACATTTGCAAAACCCGTGGTACCTTTTTACATTTCAGCACTGAACATTTGAACTGATGGAAATAATGTTTCTACCACATGTATAACCACTAAGAACCTGACATACCACCTGCAGAAACAATTTAGGTTCTCTTCAAGAGCCAATACCAGAGGCAAGACAAGACCAAGCACTGGAGAGATTGAAGAGGCTACAAAACAACTAAAGCAAGGCAAAGCAGGTAGAGCGATGAAGTCACAGCAGAAGCACTGAAGTCAGGAGGTGAGCTTTGCTGCAGGCCTGCGCTCACTAATTCTGTACTTGCTGATCTGCACATCAGAGCAAGGACATGGAAGCAAGCCATCACAGTCCCCATGTGTAAAAAAGGGGACGGCCACAAGTGCAGAAGCTACCATGGGATCAGTCTACTTTCTGTAACTGGTAAAATATCCATGTGGACAATCCAACTCCAAATACAAAAACAAAGAGAACAAGAGGCCTGCTGGTTTCTATCCAAACTGGGGTTGCTATGACAGATATTTACGCTACAACACGTCATGGAAGAATGAATGCAATTCAGCAAGCACTAGCCATGGACGAACTGCCAAGCAAGATCATACGGTTCCTACAGCACAGCTATAATGTCTTAAATCAGTTGGGTTTGCCTCAAAGGTGAACTATCAGAAGGCTTTCCAGACTGCACCGGCCATGCCATGAATGTGTCCTGTTCCCATTGCTGTTCAGTGCTGCAACAGATGCCATCATGAAAAAAGTCTTCACCAAAAGTGTGGAATTGAACGTGGCCAGGGACAGTTCATCACTGACATCATGTATGAGGATGACATGGCCATTTGCACTAGTAACCAGTGTGGAAAAGATGAAAATATTGACTGCTGATGGCTTATCCATATTGGTATAGCTATTGAAGTACAATTAGAAGAATTCAAATACCTCAGCTCCATAGTACAGAAAGAGAAAGTTGCCTCAATAACAAGTGATAAAAAGTGAATTAGTGCCACCACCACAGCTTTTGGTCAAATCATCTGGTGCTTATGGTGGCAGTCTAACATTACTGTATACACAATTTTTTTTCAGTTAGTGGCACTACCACTGCTACTGTATGAGGCTGAATTACAGACACTTCTACCACTAGAGATCCAAAAACAGGATACCTTCCAAATGCACTGTCTCTGTAGGATTCTTGGTATCACACTGATAGGCTGCATAAAAAAATGAAGCCTTCCATCAGCAAAAGAACAACTGGCTGACAATAGCAAATGAACTCCAAAAACAGTGATGGGGATGGCTTGGGCACATTCGCGTAATGGACACAGTTCACTCCCCATGCAAACTGTGCTGGGGAACATGACCCCATGGATGGAAAGTTCAATGCAGGGCACCAAGGAAAACCTGGATAGGGCAAATTGAAATTGAACCAGCCTGCTGTAGGCTGGATCTGAATCAAGCAAAAATCATAGCAATGGACAAAGCAGTTTTCCCTACAGCAGCCACAGCAGCATAAGATTTACAAAAGAGAAAAAAAGAAACATCTTTTTTTTTTCTTTAAATGTTTCCATTGTCCTTGTGGCTCAGCAAATTCTTACCCACATACCCAATCACCAATAAATGATCGACATACCATACTCCTGGCCATGTATTGCTGCTGCCTTCCATGCCATTTGGCCCTGCATGACTGGTACAGCATTGTCTGATCCAGATGCAGACCATAGCTGATGACTGCTGCCAAAAAGATTTTGGAATTCACAACTAAAATGTAGCAAGTCCTCACCTTTCTACTATCTAGAAAAATGGTGAAGAATTGTATTTGCTCTTTAAATGTGGATAGTGAATTCTTCTGTGAAAGGTTCCTGCAGGCTGAAACTTCCTGCAGGCTGAAGTCTGGCTCAGAAGACCGGTACAACTAATTCAAAGAAGACTGAAGAAACATGCATATAGAACAGCTACAACTTTGAGAAAAAGAGATCAGGGCATTTTCAAGGAAAAAAGAGCTATGAATGTTAAGCTGCTATGATTTGTTGCTTGGCATAATGATAAAGAAGATAGTAACTCCCTACTGTTTTTTTCTTTCCCCCCTGAACAATCACTTGTCTTTCCCTACATAAATTGTTGATAACTGCCCGTAGGAGCTTGAGGATTAGCAGTATGCTAGGACAAAGCAATGATTGAATAAAAGTTGAATTTCCTGCCTTCCCTGTCTGCCAACAGATTCAAAGACTGGTGCTGGGCCTTACTCAACAATTAAGGAGGTGAAGATAAATGATGAAACAAGAAATGGTAATTGTCATCCTTGATTTTAGATAAGTCCTCTACTTACCTGGAAGTCTGGCGCATAGTAGCCAACTTCTGCCATGCATTCTTTGCCAATCTAAGGACAGCTGGAAGCAAAGGAATGGGCACCTGGTACACATACCTACTCATTCATAATTGGTAGAGCTTGGATGACCTCAAATAGAAGCCATTTGGGTAAGTTGCTCAGCTTAAGGGTGAAATGAAATAATGTTTATTCGGTCAGTGATCAGAAGCTTAAGGGTGGTTTTCCTCAGATGGAGAGAGTTCCCTTGGTCATTTATCAACAGGTCTGCAGAGGAAATGGGCAGCTAATCCAAAAGAAAGTGTCTTAAATCCAGTAATCAACCTAATAAATGTAACAGATAATGAGCTTCCAGGAAAGATTCTGACTAAGTGGTGGTGAAACGGCAGCTACTTTGGATGGCAACTGAACTGGAATCTCTGCTGAAGCCAAAATTGCTTGAACCAGAGCTACCAATGCTGAAGGGGCAAAAGTCACAGGTAGAACTAAATGTGTAACAGGCAAAGATTCCCATGCAGTAGCAGTACCCTGAACTGCAACTGGTGGAACTTGACATTTCAAAGCCCCTGCAAGCCAATATGAAGATCAGTAGTGCTGAGCACTTAAGCAATAAGGTTTCCTTGAGAAACTACCATAAGATAAGAAGCAGGTCCAATTTTGGAACATAAGAGTAGCCCATTGGAAATAGTAATTGTACCTTTCATCCCAAGATAAAGACCAGTATCCGGGAAAGTAGTGCTGATATTATGGTGCCTGATAACTAAGAAAAGATATGGAATAAACTGAGTGGGGAGAACCTGGAGAAAGTCCTGACAACTGGTGGGGAGCGAGGATTTTAATGATGTAAGACTTGTGGCAAATGGTGCTATGACCAAGGCACCTGAGATAGAGAATCATCTGGGGTTCAGGTGGTAAAGAGTGTTTCTTAATCTCTCCTTCCAAAATAGAACTGAGCAGCACATTATTAAGCAGTGAAACTGGCCAACTGCAACAGAACACAGATCAAAGTGGATGAGGAGAGTAAGTGAGTAAGTAAGCTTCTCAGCCAATAGGTGTGGTGACTGGTAAAGACTGCTGAATTGGAGACAATGCATTCTTTCTGGTTTCTTCTCCATATCATTGAGGAGTTGGATATTTCATTTTAACTTTCTCTGGGTGAAGATAACTCATGAAAAAAATCACCCAGAATCAAAGGGATTGTGAAGGGTTCTCTAGAAGTTGATGGAACCAGAGCCGAAGCAATGGATGAACTATTTTGGTGAGCTTATTTTACAAAATGCTGGCAAGGTAGACCAGTGACCATAATGTGGTTTTCTCCCAAGGAGACAAAATCATGCCTACTGTGGGGTTATTTTGCCATTACACATAAGGCACTTTTGGATAGGTGCTTTAGTTAGGTGAAGAATGACAGGATGAAGTAAAACCAGAGACCAGCCAGGCAAATTATCACTCTGCTAGTGAAACATAACTATGTAGAAATGATAACTCCACCCGCACCCCCCCAGTTAACAACAAAAAAAGACAACTGTCCCTCCCCCCCCAAAATCGAGTGATTAAGGAAAAGCAAGAAGATATTCTCAATACTGCTGTAGTATTTAAAAAGGATAGCAGGACGTGTTTGAAGCATGCTTCCTACTAAAAAACCTTATCAGTTTTGGAAGGTTTCCTAGGGAGGCTCTGAACAGGCTCTGCAGTGACCACAGAGACAAACAATGCAGTCCGCTTTATAGAGAGTGAGTAAAGAAATACAGCAGGGGTCTGCGGTAAAGTGGGACAGAGTAGGATAAGTGCTGAAGGAGTGTCTTCTGGAAAGATGATGTTTATGCAAACTGATCTATATTTTATAATACTTAAATTGTACTGTTATGAACTCTTATTTATTATCTAGTTCAGGAAAGAACATTTATTTGGGCTCCAAGATCACCACAGACGGAGACTGCAGCCATGAAATTAAAAGACGCTTGCTCCTTGGG